ACTTGCAGGTCTATCAAGTCTTGTAATTAGTTTTAGATTTCAAGACTTCATAAAAAACTTACACTATTCAATTTATAATGTCTTTATTGATTACTAAGTCCAGCTCACTTGTTTTGAAGTAATTTTTGTCAGGTTTAATAAAAAGAGAATACATTGTAAAATTTTATATTTCTCCATACAAGGAACAAACGGTTATGTTGCGTTTTCAACCCGATCGACAGATTTACGATGTTTTCCGTCGGTATTTCGTCCTTAGTCGCGTAACGAGGCATCTGAACAAAAACATACCTTTTGTTGTCTCTGAATTTTAACCGATCGAAACCGAAAACCGTTCAGTCAAACAGAGATTACTCCTTTAGATCATAACTATCGTTTTAGTTATTTAAAAACACTAGCTTTCGCCCGCAATTCCGTCCGTGTGGAATTAAAAAAACAAAAGTGAGTAGCCCATGTATTCTTCCAGACTATCCTCTATATCTACATCAACTTTCATCTCAATCTGTTCAGGCGTTTAGGCTACCAACTCTAACAAACATCCATCCATCCGTCTAAATTTTCCATTCGTATGATGTACATTTTTCTACACACGTCTAGACGGCAATAGCGATGTTTGTATTGTGACTAGTTGTAATTCGACACCGGCGTATCATTACACAGTCCAGGGAAATGGCCGCCATACTTGCTTCACCACAAGTGTAATTCGAAGTATATAGTCTAGGAAGTTTATTTCATATCCATTCCCGAAAAATGAAATTTTACGCTCAGAATGTAATGAAAGTTGGGGATAGCAACATACACATGACATGAAATAAATCAGTCACAATTAGTGCACAAGTGTCTGTACTCTTCTAAATGGGAAGCGAATTAAATTCTTTAACTGTACAGTAATTTTTTATCGAAGATCAAGGAAAAAAACGAAATCAATGACTTCATGTCACACAGAATGTTTTTTCATCCCCGCCTGTCACTCATCTACGTCGCGTAAGATCAGTTTATTTATTTATTTATTTATTTATTTATTTATTTATTTATAGGTCTCCACTAATAGAAGTATGTTACAAAAAAAGAAGTTTTTTTATTATTCTACTTGTATATATATAGACCTACGGTAATTGACATATTTCTATGATAATAGTGTAAAATGTAAATGGAATGTGCAACATTTTTTTATGCTTTATCTTAAAAATAATGACGAAACAAACAAAATTTTTATGTTATTTTTTTTCGTACCAGTAGTTATATGAATAAATGTCAAAGTCGGACTATACTGGTGGGTTTTTCTATTTTCGGACATAAAATATTATTGTAATATACAGGTTAAAAACCTCCTTTTGTCTCATCCTTGGCCACTAATAGTATTTAAAACGATATTATTTTATTAATAAGTGCTGTTTCAAATACCATTCATTTTAACACCTATATCCTATATATCTATTTATAGTAGTAGACCATTTGTTAATATATCCTTTAACATTTAAAATGTTTTATAAATAAAATAAAAAGACAAACTTATTTATGTTTATTAGCCAAGCCTTAAAATTGTAAAAACAAATTCGGTTACGTGTGTGTTTTCTAACCTTTACACAGGAAGTATTGTTAATTTAGATAAATTTAATGATACATTAGCATGGAAATAGATAATTATAATTGAAACACTTTAAAGACGGCTTTTAAATATAAGGATCTCTGAGGACGCCTATACCCAGGAATGGGCTTCAAATGGTTGAGTAGATAGAAGAATGTTGATGAAAATGTGTGTTCTGTTAGATGTTAAAGTACTCTGTGCATTAAATGCATATAAGTAATGCAAACATTTATACGTTGTCACATTATGATAAGACAAGATTACGTCATCAACGTGTCAAAATAAACACACTAGTGTTATTTAAAAAAGTCAATTTAGACTATAGTTTTTTTTTTCATTAGGTTCGTATGAAAAGAATCTGTAGGTATTCATCGTCCATATAACGTAAAAATATATTATAATTGCTGCATAATAGATTAAAAAGATGCTTAATAGAATCAACCTTTGACAAACAAAATGCAGTCGAGAGACCAATATGATTATGGGAATCATCTAAAAGAATACACTATCAAAGCGCTAACATTATACATAATATAGTTAACAAGGATTGAGGACAGAGCATTGCCACATCTAACTGTATCCGTTATCTTGTTATAACAGACAGTGCATGCGGCAAGATTCATACAGAGCAATCAATTGTCAGACTGTACATTATAAACTTTGAGACGTTATGCCACGAAAATAGAAACGAAAGCGAATGAAAAATTAAAGTTAAATCCTGAACTGCTGTAATGACTGGTTAACACTAGGCCAGTACAGTTAGACATTAGCGCTCAATAACCGGACTGGTATTCAACTGGCTTAACGTGAATACTAACTGACGTTCATACAAACCATGCCATGGTGAATAAGGCATAAGTCTATGGGGCTAAATGGTTTGTTCGTAAAAACAAACTGCTAGGTTTATAATCAAAATTAGTTCTCTCTTCAGTTCCGGTTCGCTTCGCAGTGAGCTAGAAGATAAAAGAGAAATCATAAGTCACTTTGTTATGTTATTACAACCTGTTTTGTATAACACGAAAATATTAATTAGTCTTGGTAGGCGATTTAATTTTATTTATGAATAATGTTGAATCTTAGTTATTTAGCATATTGAAGTGAAAATATTAGAAGTAAATTATTCTTAGCTATGATGAAGATTTTCTAGTTACATCGAAATGATTCTATTTATACTTCAATGCAAATAGCCGTGCTTAGCGGTTTTACATCTTTTTTGTTTTTTTTTCTAGTGTCTTAAAAGCCGTATTATGCTAAATACCTCATAGCCATCTGTAATCAATACATTGTTCTCCTCAGATTTCCTCAGATTAATGCGAAACAAATCTTCCTCTTTTTTTTATTATGTTATAAGGAATAATAATTGTAACAAAAGCATAATATTACCAGAGGTAATTCATACGTATAATAAAAGATATGCTTGTGCTAAGATAATTTATTAATATTTAAATTTAAAAATAATTCAAACACATTATTCCACAAGAAAAACTGGTCCGGACTTGACGAAAAATATTTATTCTCTTTAAAATAGTAATTCGAATCTTAATAAATTATTAATTCATTACATAAACGATTTTTAAGTAGCTTTAGCTTAAGATTATTACTTAGAGAATGAATTAGCGATTATAATAGAGATTAACTAGTTTAATGCAATATTTTATGACATACATTGGAAATGTCAAAGTCAATTCTTTTCATCAATTACTAGATGTTGCTCGCAACTTCGTCCGCGTGGTATTACAAAACATAAGAACTAAATAAATAACAAAAAGTTACGTATCCCTTGGATATCGGACATTACTCGGGGATGAACCTTTTCCTTCGTGTACTTTGTTTTATATCTGTGACAAATTTCAATAAGATATGTTGAACCGTTGCAGAATCATTGAGTAAACATTAAAAATCAAAAATAAATGAATCCCACGGGAACCGTAACTATTCCCGAGATAAAAAGTAGCCTATGTGTTCTTCCAGGCTATGTTCTAAACCTGTGCTAAATTTCATGGAGATCCGTTCAACCGTTTAGGCTACAAACGCTAACAAACATTCATCCATCTAAACTGTCGCATTTATAATATTAGTAAGATAAGTACGATATGATTCGTATGAAACTGAAATAAAAGTTGTAAACTATGAATTCAGTTTTAATCTATGGTAAAGTATAAATATATTATCTATTAGTTACTACTTCATTAATAGAGTGAATATTGGAAACCAGTTATTTTAATATCTGATCGGTATCAGACTCATCCGGATCTAAGTGATATTAGAATTGGAGATGTTACGGCCAGTCATTTAATTCTGGTCATTTTTACACCGATGATGTTCAGCATTTGTTTTTTATAGTATAAGGTGACGAACAAACGGCCACCGGAATTTGCCAAAATAACAAAATGACCACTGACCACACATCCGCAGTGGCGTTGTCTCAAATCCCCGAAATCCGTGTCGTGCCGAATCTTCGGAACTTTAAGACACAATACAGGACGTTGCCTGATGTTCCGCAGCGTCATGGCAACATATGGCTATGCTATGGCACTATCCTTCCGGACTATTTTGATGCACCGTAATCGCCAATGGCCCCAAGGGTCCCTTATGCTTAAGCGACTAACGGACTTAAACGTGTCCTGGCAAAGATTTGTCTTTTATATTCAAAAATCTTCTATAAAACGTTATTATAAGTTCGTCATCATTCGTGTTAATTGCACGTGTCGTGAGAACAGATACCTAAATGTCAATAGTTGTTCCAAGTAGCGATAGCATTTATAACTACGACTAGTATATTTCATATGCAAATTGTTCTTGTTACATTTTTACTACACCCTCGTTTACAAAATACGACATAAAACTGTAAAAATATTGTCTTGGTTTTTTAAATAATCATATTTACATGTTTTAAAAACTTAACCAATACTATGCTATTATTTACGTCGGTATTCTTTTGAGCCTGGTTTGAATTTTTTTTACTTATCTAGTCCTGACAAGCTGGTTCTCGATATCTGCATAATGTTTATACCTAGTTTAACTTCTTGTTTCATTCTGGTTTCTTCTCATTATTAGTGCAAATTTCTTTCACGTGTACGAATACATTTAAACAAATATTAAATGATGATTATATATTTGATAGATTATATATTTATTTAAAGAACATTTAAAAATATAAATTAGTGATATAATAAATCAATCACACTAACATTACAAATGAGAAAGTTTAGATAGATGTTTGCTAAAGTTAGTAGCCTAAACGGCTGAACGAGTATAGATGAAGTTTGCATAGACATAGAGGATAGTCTGGAAGAACACATTGGCTACTAACTTTTGATTTCTTATATTCAACGCGGACGGAGTCGCGAGCGAAAGTTAGTAATAATACTTACACCTTTTTTTTGGTCCTATTTTTTTTCTTTTTTGTTTACAGTGCCAATGACGTAAGAACAAAATGAAGGAACTAAAATTACCGACAAGAAATATCTTAACCGGCGCCATTGTGAACTGGGAGGATGATGAAATGGCCGGCCTCAATGACAACCCGGAGAATCTTACACTATCATGGAAAGATTTATCAGTTTACAGAAAGAAGAAATTACAAACAAGCATATGGAGGTCAGCGGTATACGAAGAGGTTAAAGTACTACATGGAGGTCAGTGAACTATAAAAAAATACATTCATGCAAATTTTAATTTTTTTTTTCGATTCTTTGAAACCCGATTGCGTTTGATTCAAAGCGACTTGTCATAACTAGTTTTATTTATAGAAATTCTCGATCATCAAAATGCCTTTCATTATCTAACCAGTGACATTATTGTAAGCTATTGGTTTAAGTAGTGTATGCGATCCTCTTTGAATTAAATCATTGAAAGCTATGCTAAGTACAGTAAGGGTGGGGGATGATAGTACTTTAACACTATTAACGGCTTCCTGATACCCTCAAAGGCTTCACTGCAACCCCTAATAATGTCGGATCAAGTCGGTATCTATGTAAATTCGGAATTATCAATTACCTACACGCCTATTTTATTTTACCTATGTATTATGATATAGGTATTTTAAGCTCTCTATTATTAAACATACAAACAAACAACCATCCATCCATCTAAACTTTCACATTCATAATATTAGTAAGATAATAGAACGTTATTACAATAACAATCCATAGTTCATAAACTTCCATATAGAGAAAATAAATTATTTTAGTTTGGTGATTAGCGAAATTGTTGACAAAAATCTCACTATTTTGACAAAAATATAATATTGAAAATGAGTTGTCTTAATTAAGCGCCACCTGTGGTTTTATTTGAACACAGTTGATTATATTCAATTTTATTAAATCCATCAATTTATGTTTACTTTAAGTAAAAATAATAATTTCAAAACACTGTCTACTAATTTATGTGACGGAACATGTCCTAATAATATATCCTATACTAATAATAATAGTCAAATTTAATTTATTCGCAGTTAACCTATACTGATATTATAAAGAGGAAAGATTTGTATTTTTATATGTATTGAAATAACTCAAAAACTACTGAGCTTTCTAAAATTCTTTCACCATTGAAAACCTACGTTATCAGTGAGTAACATAGGCTATGATTTTAATTTCACGAGGGCGAAGTCGCCGTCAACAACTAGTCTTAAATAAACATACGTAAATACCAAGGTACTTATTGAAGCTGATTTAATAATGCAGTTAACAAATGTCAAGTACGTAAGATTTATCCATACACTATGATTACAAAAAACTTTAGAGCCGTGTCATAAATGTTTAAGTTACAAGTAAATGTAGGTAATTTTATTAATTACATATACTTAAGTAGGACTTAACGACAACTGCGTTCAATCATTTTTGTTATTAATAGTTATTTTTGTTATAAAATATATAGGTTCTAAAATTATCTCAGTAAAGTATACAACAAAACAAAAGATTTTCTTTTTTATAAGAGAAAGCGACAAACGAGTACACCGAGGTGGTCAACAACGCCTTTGGATACTCTTAATACTAGAGAAACTTATGATGCATGGGCCTTTAGTCTCTGATAGACTAAGTGCCTGTCCCACCACTGGCTGATAGAGGCTCACGTAGCTTAGATAAAGGGACAAAATTCGATATTTCCATCACACATTTACACCTTGAATTGTTATCAGACAATTTACAATTTTGTGGGACAGGCTCTGAACTAAATATATGCACAATTTAATCATCAAACAGCATAGTTACTATACGTTTTAAGTGATACTTACCGTTTTAACTACCATTATGTCACTTAAGTTAATAACTGTCATTTTATATAATCTGGCGCCATATAACCTACGACAACAAAGTAATTTATTACTAGTGATGATTTATTACTATACACCACGTAAAAACATGACAATCGATGTCCACATAAACTGTTAACATATTAAATTGAACCGTGGAAATATTTTACAGTTAGAGGTCATCTTAATTCACGTTTTAATCACGACTAGCTGTTCGCGTGCGACTTCATCCGCGTAAAATTATAAATATTTTATTATTTTGTTTACATGTGTCAAATTATCAATTGCAAATGTCAAAATGATATGACATGACAAAACTTGGCATTCTTGCTTCCTTGATGTTGGCAGCAACTTATGGTCTCTTTCCCACATTAGGGTTTTTATCTAAAACATTTACCTACTAAGTTTAATGGCGTGAAAATATATAGCCTAAAGCGTGCCGTAAGTGTAGGGCTTTTTATTAAAAATAGAATTATTAAAAAATATGCTGACGTCTTAGGCAACAAAGAAGTGTGTGTTTACACTTCATTATAATAGTATAGATATTATGTTGGTAAATAACTTAATTGTATGTGTAGTTAAATTTATTTAGCGTTACAAAATAACCTGAATATAAGCAAAATTTGTACTAATATTTGCTTATACTGCGTTTATTTGTAAGGCTAATTGATTATAATTTGTTGTACGTTACATACTGAACTAAGTTAACTACACTTATATCTTGTATCGTAAACGTGTCTCCAAAGTCCGTGTTAAGTCAAAGGGGTGACTAGAAAGTCAATCACGCTAGACTACTGCTAATTGGTTACAATAAAATAAAATAAAAATGTATGATGCATATTACATTATTTTGTTCCCAGTGAGCGGTGTTGTTTCGTCAGGCAATTTGGTGGCACTAATGGGATCAAGGTAAGATTTATGGAAAATTACACACGTGATTATCTTACAGTATATTATTATAATTCACATTTTTAACAAATTAACGAATAAATAAAACAGAATTTAGTATACTATTTTATTCATTAATTTTACATTTTCACATAATTACTAAACAAATATTATTTTAATCATAAATGTATAAATTATAAAATAATATTTAAGTTATTATCGGTGAAATAGTTCTCATACCAAAAGACGTAGAGTTCTTACATTTTTCACTAATATTATAAACTAGCTTTCGCCCGCGACTCCGTCCGCGCGGAATTAAAAAAAAAACAAATGCAAGTAGCCTATGTGTTCTTCCAAACTATCCTCTACATCTATGCCAAATTTTATCAAAAGCCGTTCAGCCGTTTAGGTTACAAACTCTAACAAACATCCATCCATCCATCTATCCATCTAAACATTCGCATTTATAATATTAGTATGATGTATAAATGCGATTTAAATTATCATAAATGCGAAAGCTTGGATCTGCTGCTGACTGCAAAAAACACTGTCTGGTAGAAATTTGGAGAACAGACCGCCAACCTTCGCTAGTCGGAGAGGCACTTTAAGAAGAAGAAGGTAGAACATAGACTACTAACAAGATTTTTTTATGCCGCACGGACGAAACCGCGGGAATTCAGTTAATAAAAGGAAGTGTAATATGACATTACCTTTTAAAAGAAAGAAATAATCTTGTTTACTAGACATTTATATTCGTGAGAATCAGATTAGACCGGAACGTAATAATCGTTTACTTATAAATTGAATTAAATTAATTAAAAATGCATTGGTCATTACTAACACTTAACGAATTTGTAATCGTCAATTGGAACTTGTTTATTCTATTTGTGCCATTAAGGGCGCACATAAGTGGTTATTTACTTCATATTACTGATTTTAATTTAAACTCGCCCGCGAGTCCCCCCCGAGTCCGTCCGCGTGGATTATATAAATAAAAGTATGTGTTCTTCCAGACTATCCTCTACATCTATATCAAATTTCATCGAAATCTGTTCAGCCGTTTAGGCTACAAACTCTAACAAACATCCGTCCATCTAAACTTTCACATTTGTAATATTAGTGATAATAACTTACTGATAATAACTATGAACTTATGTTATTGCACAATATTTAAAAGCTGAGAATTGTTTTATGATTTATCAGCGTGTCTACAGCATACAGGAATAATTAATGACATATTTTTTAGAATATTACAGCTTAATTATGTGTGGATGTATTTGCTATAAATCATTTTCTAAACAAGATTGCAAAATATAAAAAATATATGAAAACGGTTGTACTAAACGTACTTGTCGGTTAAACATAATTAAGTTGTAACATTCTTTTAAATACTGTAATCTTTTTAATTATTTGACTATATGAATGATGGTTTGTTCTAAATGAATGGTTTATTTGATAGTGGGGCTGGTAAAACAACATTACTGGCGGCGATCAGTCGGAGAGATAAAAGTGCGATTACTGGCTATCTCATGTTGAACGGCCGTCTTGCTGGCGCTGACCTCATATCCCGTATATCAGGGTTTGTGCCCCAAGAAGACTTGTCTATAGGCGACCTTTCTGTCAGCGAACATATGGAGTTTATGGTGAGTGTGGGACATAGAATACGATCGAGCTTGTTACAAGAAATGTAGGATCCGTCTTCCGTGAGCACAGTTCGCGGAATGTTCACCTGTAGTTCGCAGGCCGTTCGTGAGTGGTTTGCGAACAGCGTGTAGACGCATTTAGATTGAAAGTGCAGTTTTTAGTCCATATCTCTCTAAAATACGAAGGATTACGTGTATTTTGTATAAAATAGTGAACAATATTTACTATTGGAGCCGAAGTTCCTTAATTTAATGCTGATAGAAAAACTATAAATAATGTTACAAGTTTTTAAAATGTATTTTATTATCTTGTTATTTATGTGAGAAATATAACATTATCGAATAATCCAGTTTGTGTAACAGATTAACCTTTTCATTAGATATTTATAACCAGATTTCATAGATTATTAGATAAGCTAATTTGCATCCATGATATTCTGGAATAAGTTGAAATAATTAAATAAATCATTTTTTTTTATTTACGATCTTGACTTTTAAGATTCATGTTTGTTAATCTTATGTTATTGTGAATCTGCGACTGAAAATTAATTTATATTAATATTAATTTATTTGTAAACAATTTTATTACGGAGAAATCTTAGGATTGAATATAAAAATATTATTGTAATACAACTAAAAAAGTTACTACGATCACGACTAAGCTCCCGAAGTTTATTGTAACACAATATATTTAGATATATTTTTGCTATAGTATAAATTATCGAAATCTTCTTCGCCATCTAAATAAATTTAAATTCATACAAATATGTCACCATTGTGAGAAAACATTACCACTACAAGAAGCATGTAATTTGTTTTTCCAAACATAAATATGGTGTTATTATATCATATATTCCAAGTGGTAGTGAAAAGGAAGGATTTAAGTCATTGATATGCTTAATCACGGCAATAATTACGCAAGGTGTATCTCGCTTGCCTATTAAACATTAATTTATGTATCTACGATTTCCCATAGAAGTGTGTAGTGACGGCCATTCACAGCTCACGAGCTAAAATAATCTACAGACACATTAAGGTTATGTATTCTTATGCTTGAAATATAATTGGTTAAATTAAAATCGAGTTTATTTATACTGAAATATTAGAAAAAAATATCTACAATCTCAGACCGTTTTGCGAAATACACCTGCATTACTCAAACAGAACAGCAACCCTTAGTTGACTATTAATAGCTTTACTTGATGAATACCTTAAAACGATTTTCAGACATCTCTATTGTTGTTAGGTTTATTAAAATAAATTGTATAAGGAAGGTAGATTATAATTGAATTAGTCGTCACTGCTGTTTGATTCCTCTCGTGGATTACTTTTTAAGGCGCATACGAATCGGCACTACCACAGGGAACATGATTCCGATTTCTTATAATAGTGTGAAAGGTGACATGATCAAGAAGGTAGTGTTAACTGACATATATGTTAGAGTTATGTGGAGGAGAAAAATCTGTTGCGCCGACCGTAAAGGAGCAGGATAAGGAGGAAGATAATGATTCCTTACCTTGATCACACTATAGCTGTAACATTAGTGTATGTTTTCTAAGGCCCGCATGATGATGGACAAGCGGTCGAGTGCAGCAGTCAGAGCGCGTCGTGTTCAGCAGCTTCTCGGCGAGCTCGGGGTTATGAACTGCACACGTACCAAGTTGAAGGCACTGTCCGGAGGCGAGAGGAAGAGAGTCGCATTGGCAGTTCAGGTAAGAAAACAAATGTACATTATAAAAAAAATCACACAAACGGAATCGAAAGGGAACACATAGAAAGAAGTGTGATACGTAATCTGTTCCTATTAGTTACTAGTTTCAATTCTCACCACGGCGAAAATTAAATGAGTACAAAATATTACATTGTATAACAAAGCCAATGCATTTATAGACCATATTCAGATAGTTAGATAAAAATTCGAGTCTCAAAATCTATATTTCACGCTGGTATTCTGTTGAGATTGGTTTTAGGTCTTCCGTAATAATATCGTTCGAGATTCCTGTTTCATTTCCCACAAAACTGTTATTTTTTTAGTCATCAAAATATAGAAATATTAAAGAAACATTTGATATACTTGACATTTGTTTATAATCATCATGAAATCCTTATGCATCTCGATGACTGTAAGCTGTAACATAATACGACGTTTTAATCAGATATTTAAATATGCTTATAGAATTAGAAGTCGTTAAATATTATTATTAAAGTCAGCTCCTTAACAAAGCTATTATATACAGTAGACAAACAACCTGATAAATTAATAACGACATAAATGACAGAGGCGTTGTAGAAGATTAGAATTAGAAACTGGAAAGATTTACATAAATATATTCCGTAGAAAGATTCCATGTTGATTTGACAGCTATATAATTTGGCTTCTTTATTTACCATCTAACTGAGAGATATAAAGTTAAATTTATTGAACACACGTAAAAATAAAAGGTATCTATTTTATTCAAAGAAGTTACGTCGATATAAACGTTGTGGGAATTACACCAATAAGAAACCTTTAGAGGCCTGAATATTTACATTTTAAATGCAGCGTAGTAGCCTCTGAGCTTCTCTGTAAGTATGTGAGGTGACGACACGTGAATGTACCTTCTAATGACGAGTACTTGTAACTTTTGAATTTCCTCATTCGTACAAAACTGGCAGACAAGTCTGAGACACATGACCTCTTCATTAATATGAACATTAATTGTCAAATGTATGTAATTAATATTGTATAGATCACGTTACCACTAGCCGTAGATATTTTGACACGTATCATGTCACCAATTAAAAAATGAAATATAGACACTATAAAATAATGAATTACGATGTATCTTTTATTTCTCAAATTAATTGTCTTGATTGTAGACTCCATTTGTATTATTCATTAATCTATTTTTAAATGTAATAATAATGTATTAATTTGTTATTACTCGACTTTACCGCTTTTAGGGGTTTACATAAACTGGTAAATGAGTTGGTAGTTCATCTAAAACCTGATTTATAAATTCTTCATGTCTACCATTAAGCTATACATCAATTGAGACTTGTTTTTTTATCATTCCTAATTTTAATTCACTACTATACATACGGACATGGATGAAGCATGTTACGAATTTCGCTTCACGTGTACAGTCAAGGGAATTAATTTCCGTACCCACTAAGAATGAATATCATATGGGTTATAAGAACAGAACGAGTCACTTAATATGTCTTCTTGTTTCAGTTACTTAACGACCCTCCAATTCTGTTCTGCGATGAACCAACAACAGGCCTGGACAGTTCTGCAGCTAGTGCTGTTGTCAGTAGACTAAGAAGGCTGGCTATTGGGGGTAAACTTGTGATATGCTCCGTTCACCAGCCAGCTTCTGGTGTGTTTGAATTATTCCATCAAGTGGTTCTCCTGGCCAATGGAAGAATAGCATTCCACGGAAGTATCGAGCAAGCGGACCAATTCTTCGCTTCGTAAGTTTTTTTAATATTTGTGATGATTTTATTGTTAACATAAAGCTGGTTACCTGTAATGGTTTACAGAATACATATTACCAAAGTTTACTTCTATATTTTTCCAATGTCAATAAGGTCGCAAAGTTCCAACATAATTCCTTTTCCACTAAAAAATCTTTAACGTCATCAACAACATCCATTTTACTTTTAAACTGCACTTACTTTTTGTGGGCAATTCGTGGGCGCAGCAATCGCCTACGATCGGGTTAGTGCCCTGCCTTTTGTCTCATAAAAAAGGTAAATTATTCAAATTATCTCTAAGAAGAGAGTGATACGTTAAAACATTTCAAATCCCTACTGCAGGTAGAAAACTAAAAAAAAGAAACGAGTAAGTTCTTTGACCGATACTTAGATGCCGTGAATGAAATAGAATATAAAAATTTAATAATCCGTATGTATCTTGTTTATATTTCGTAGCTTGTAGATATCGTTCTATCTAAAGTTAGAGGCAGAAAAAGACATGCTTCACCAGCCTGTTTTGCACACAGGCTCTCAAGTATTTAATTTTCTTATTAGTTTTTTTTTCCCGTATGATAATCTGTAAATTCCTTAACATTACGAATCCTCTTATCAAACATATTTTCTTTTACATAAATAAATAAAAGCATATTTAAAACAAATCTTGCACTTTCTACAATTGTGCAGAGAGTATTCTTTTATTCTTTACAACAATAGTATTCTTTAGGTATGTAACTAGTTTTTTTTCTAAATCGTTACCATCTCTATAGACCCTTTGTCTCTTAATGAACTCGACCACATTTTTAAAATTAAATGACCTTTCTTTATTTCTTTTAACTCCATTAACTTTTTTTTTACGGCCTTTAATTGTTACGTGGTACAAAAAATCATCCCACATGTCAAAGTTGACAAGATAATCAACCGTCAATCTAGCTAACAGCCATACATGAAGCAATCATAAGAAGATTATAGGTCAGGAACGAGTTTAGTGAACCCTATACGATTTTAAAAATCATTCTAAAGATTAAGGTGTAGATGATGCAGTCCGTGATTGTAACTATTTGTCTCCATTGATTTATAATAAATCATAGTTTTACTTATTCGTGTTGCCCTTTTGATTATACAATTTTAATAAAGTAGTTAATTACTTATTAATAACTGTTATGATTTTTTTTGATGATATTATCATTTTACTGTATAACCTCGTTAATTATTGATGTTCTATTCTAGCTCTGTGTAAACGATGGGACAGTTTATCTTAATTTTTATCGGAAGAAGGTCCAAATCATGGCTAATAGCTATTAAAACGCGTATTCTAAAACCAATTTGTTTTTGATTTTAGGAGAACAAAGTAACAAAACTGCTGCAATGATTATGCATTGTAATAGGAAACAAAAACTAGAATCATTAATCTTCAATATTGATTAAATTATAATTAATTTGTTAAAGTGCATTGTAAATATTTCCACATCAAATGTATGAACATTCATCTTACATTTAATAAGCTAAGAATAATGATACCATATATTCAAACATTTAAATATGTTATTCAAAAGAATATTAACAAAAACAGATAATATATCTATACGATTTTCGTAGAACTTATAAATTTACGAATGATATATCAGTTAATATCTTAGCTTATATAAATAAAAGCAACCAGGCAATAACGACAACAGTTATAGGTTCTAAGAAATTAAACAAATTATTTCTCGATTGTAACATCGAAAACATTGACTTTACCTGCACCATTTTCTTATATTTATGCAATAAAATATTGAAAAGTTAATCAACGTAATGGTAGTTAATTGAATATGATCCTTGTATTCCAGGATAATTAACACAACCGTAGTGTTTGTGTCAAGTTGCAAGAACCTGTTTATAACGGGACCGACTGCGGTATTTACTTATATCAGTGATATTGAACTTTTCGCCGATATATCATTTGTCAGACTGTTTTACTTTGTACCGAGCAGATATCTACCATTCATTCATCGGTCGACTTTATCCTATTCAGTTTTTATGGATCAGCCAACCTTGCTCTTGTCCTCTTTAATTGTTTCTCTATTAAAGGAATATTGAGAACTTGATATGTACGAGTTGACGCATAGTGCAGATCAATGTTAAATGTCATAGGTCAGTTATACTTCCCCATTAGCAGTTTAACGAACAACGTTAAAAGTCGACGGTTGTCTTCAAAAGGAGTGCTATGGCACTCGTAGCCGATAGTCGGTCCTTAGCGAGCCTATAAAATAATTAACTTTAAATTGAGTTCTAGACTTGACCAACTAAATTTACGCGAAGAATATTTAATAATCGATGGTCTAATAAGCATTTAAAACTTTGTTCATCATACAGTTTGAACTACAAATGTCCGGTGGGTTTCAACGCGGCGGAGTATTACGTGACTTTGCTCGGCGTAGACGTGGAGAAGGAGATGGAGAGCCGCGAGAGAATCCGTCGCATTTGCAATGAGTACCAGCGGTCTGACTTCGCGACTGCCATTGAGAACAAGATCGGAGATGTTAAAGACGAGATCGAGTATTTCAACGGTACAGTAGATCAGAAGGTAAGCGTTAGAATCATGAGTCACTGATATTTATTTTTTGAAAGGTAAAGCTATCACGTGAGCGTCTTTTATTTTTATTAGTTTTAGTGCTCTTTTATTGAATAATGTTTTGTAATTTTTGATGAGCGCATCAATTAAGAGAGTTTATTGTCTTGCCCGTCGATTATTTTTATAGGTTTTTATCTAATATATAATTGGGTCGATAGATTTATGGAAAAAACAACGAGATTTTATTTAAGAAATATTTTACCTATTTCTAAGCTGCAATGTACCATATCGCTTGTTTTAATGGAATCCACACAGTCACATGTTTTATACATTCCTTGTTAAACTAACCGGACTGTTTGAGACGTACATAAATATAGCTTTGTTTTTTTCTTCAAATAGTCACATGAATCAGGCTCCTTTGTTTCGCGAAATCTTCGGTTGTCCAATTAAAGAATTCTGGAAGTCCATAAAACAAAACAAGCAAAAGAATCGAACAAAAAGTTAACATATGTGTAAATTCTCTAAAGATTATGTTCGCTCGTAAAGTGTTAAATTCTTTTTTTGGGGAGTTCGTTCAGTATAAGCGCGCTTTTACTTAAACTTTGTTGTAAGAAATAATTGAACTTGAGAACTATAAAATTAAATTGCTATTTTAAATAACATTAAATATTTTTTGTTTATTTTAGAATGTCTACTTCGAGCGATATTTAACACTGTAAGTATGTTTACATTTTTCAAATTTGCATAAAAACATTTTTCTCAAATGTTAACAACAAATGTATTTTTCAGAGTCAAAGTAAACTATTTCGTCCAGTTCTACTGGCTGTTGTGGAGAAATTTCCTCGCTTTAAAACACAACAATTCCGTATGGCTAGCTGAATTCGTACTTCTAATGGTAAGTTTATTTTCATCTAATTTTACTTTCAAAAAACAAATAAAACAAAGATAAAATTTAAGAGACAAAGAATCTATTAAGTGAATAATAGCTGTAATATTTATCTAAAAACAAATTAATTATGCATTCTGCATTAGATATCGTAAATTGTAACGACATTGACCGACGATACGTTGCACCGTATCTTACATTACGAAACAGTTTGTGACCTTTAACGATATCATGTCCGGTATCCAAATATTAAAAGACTCCGATAACAGATAGGGTTGAAACGAGTTCGCTTGGACTCAGGCAGGTCCCGAGTAGAGGTAAAATCGACTGTTGCGCGTTAAAACGGGAAGTACAATGACCTTAGAGAATATCTGCATTAAGTATTTTGTAATTCGATGCGCGTTTTGATGTCTTCTGACAACTATGAACACGCTTGGCTTAACATATGATTTAATAATTCTCGATCAAATTATACAATTTAAGATCTGCTGGTATGTCTCGTATTACCTTCGGACACCTACAGAACATATAAAGACGTAGACCCTTCTACGTGTAGACGAATTACATATCTGTTGCATTAAAGGAAGACGATATGCTTTAGCTAGTGAAAGTTATATTAAAGACTCTTTGGAATGCACTAACATCAGTGGCCTGGTTACTTTTTCAGTTTAGAACTCTCTAGGTTGCCTTAAAGTAGCCTAAAGTAATGTTTTTTTTACAGTTCGTAGGTCTTATAATATCGGTACCCTACGCTGGTCTATTCAAAGACTTGGACCAGCGCGACATTCAGAACGCGGAGGGTCTGTTGTACCTCACCATCACGGAGACCATCTTCCTCTCGATTTATGCTGTCTTCATCACATTCCCGAGCGAAGTGCCGGTGTTGCTGAGAGAAACTGCCAGCGGGCTGTATTCCCCGTTACCATATTATCTGTCTAAAGCAATATTTTGGGTAAGTAGCAGATGTAGAAATTGTCGGTCAAATTAAAAAATAAAAATAACGAACGAAAATGATGTTTAAGATGAGAAAACTGTATGAATATCTAAGATCTGTTAATGCATAATAATTCGTTCCAATTACCACGTTATTGATTTTATATTCTTCCTTGTTTCTTTGTCGGTGTTATAATTAACGAATAATTGCTAAAAAACCTTTCAATATCATTAATTGTTATGATAATATCTTCGTTAATGTCCGTTTCTTTGGTTCTTTATGCAATTTATGTATTGATGATATCAGAGCTTATTATAATAAAATATGCAATGACCAAGTGTGATTGGTCGTTGTCTCCAAATCGGGAGGCTACTAAACGAATCCTGGATGGTTTTTGATTTGACTTTTTTGGTAATGAATGTGTCTGGGCGATTCGACTCACGCTTTGATGTACCTCTGATGGGCATGCCAATGTTTTTGTTTGAACTTGAGTGTTTTGAAATGTGCTTATCCAGTTAATTAAAAGACGTAAGTTTTCACGCCAATATAACCGCAATTAAAGGCGAGTTGGGATTGATTTTATTTACGTATTCTTAAAATAATACTTTTGTGTTATTGGTAGAAATTCTGTTCTCAAACAGTAAAGAAATGACTCACGGTTTCCAACAATTTTCATTAAATATCCTCTTAACTAGATTACTTTGTTGTTCACTTCAGGCTTTAAAGCATGATTTAGTGCTCTTAACTACTGATAAAAGACACCGCCGTAGAACTAAATATTATCATCACCATTTCGACACATTTATTTAAAGGCAAAAAAATATATGACGGAATAAAATATCACAAACATCATAAAAATCTAGACATCTGCGTTGACACCTTTATATTATTATTTGCAATCTAGTTTGTTTGATTTTTTTATTATTTTATGAGCAATCGATTAATTGCAACCGAGTTATCAATTATGCAAATTCGTTTATTCTGCGTATAACATAAGTTTTTTTACAGATCCCGCGAGCTGTGATCGCGCCGGTGCTTTTTGCCTCGCTGGTGTTTACAGTGGCCGGACTACAAGGTGGCTTTATGAACTGGCTCGGTTTCTGTTTCGTCTGCGTCTTGTGTGCAAACTACGCTAATGCTTACGGTAAATATTACTGCATACTTAATTTCAATGGCATATCGTTGTCTTTGTCTACTACTAGACCTAGGTTTTCTCAAAGATTAAGCATAAATATAGTTTTTCTGCTGCTTCCTAGACTATGTAAGTGTGTATCTCGTTGAAAATAGACTTTTATTTCGTTGTTCTACACAATCCTACCTTAGTTAGTCCTTTGTTTTACTTTACATCTGTTGATCTAAGGTCATTTTTATTTTGTTTCCTGCCATGATTCAAATGTGTTTATTATTCTCAGGTTCATTCCTTTCATCCGTGTTCGATAAAATGGAGACAGCAGCTTTAGTCTCCGTTCCCTTCGAACTGGTAGGCACGATGTTTTCTGGTATCTACCTCAACCTGGCCAGCGCGTCCCCCTACGTGTCCTGGCTGCGTTACATCTCAGGCTTCTACTATGGAGTTGAAAGTATTTCCATTCTTCAATGGGATTCCATACAGACTATAGAGTGTAAATCCCCCGGCTCACCGTGTATTAAAACTGGACCCGAAGTTCTCAGGAAATTTGGCTTCGCCGAAGAGAACTTCTGGAGGAATTGTATCTGTTTGGTTATTATGTACTGCGTGGCTCATGTCACGGCTTTTATTATGGTAGTCAAGAGAAGCAGAGGCACGCCTGTTTATTAAATGACGTGTGCTGTGGAAATTTATGGAAATGTAGATCTGAGGTATTGTAAAGCGAGACATTATTATTATGTTCGTTCTAAATGATGTCCGTTTTACATACAGGGTATTTTTATAATTGCAAAATGTTTCGTCCACTAAAATATACATTAAGACCAACGTTAATGTAAGAACTTTTGTAATGTTTTTTACTTGATGAAAATTTTACAAGAAAAGCATATTATGCAATGTTTGCTTTTAGTGAGAATTTTTGATACGATATTATGTGAGCTAAAGCTTTCATGCAATTTTTAATTTTTTAAATAAACTACAATTTTTTCTAAGTGTTTTATTTATTATCAAAAACCCTGGTAAAATAGTAGAATAGAAGGAACGTTAATGAAAGTAATAATCTATTTGCATTCCATGAATTGTAGCACACTCATAGTGTCCCTTTAAAAGTCGAATAACGAATATTGTGTTGGTAAAATAACAAAATTTTAATTGACAAGAATTTTATTTTGCATATCAATTTTACAAGTACAAAACTTCTATCTAAAAATACACAGATTAAATGCATTAACATAACAATTAAAATAACGTGAAATAATCTATAACCTACGAAAACTCTCTTTAATAAGCGTAACCTTTCTTCTCTTCTCTCTTCAATCCCCAGTATCCCACAACACTCCACAAAGTTGCCACAAATAGAAGACCTACAGTATCTTCTAGCACGAAATTATCAGAGTAACCATTCTCCAATAAAACTGCAGCGCCGTCTTTCACACAAACTGTGGTTGTGTTTGTAGGACACTCTAAAAACAGGAAATTATTAGTATCAGAAGAAATTAAAATGAAAAATAATTATAATTTAAGTATACTAGAAGTAACTTTACATTTTAACAATTGTCAACATCTCATGTTTCATATGAGAAACGATTTTGAAGTGAAGCAAAGGGCATCCGGATAGAAATGTAAAGCAAAAAGTTTTCGGGTTAGCGGTAAGATCCCCCCATTAAATTCGCAGTAGCTCTCAACTTAGTACTTAGAACTCTGTATAAGCCACGAGCATAAAAGATAAACTAAAGCATCATGAATTACTTAATTAACAATCTCGTAATTCAATATTGTTTGTTAATGCCATTTTATAATATAATTCAATGCAATTACTCGTACGTAATTAAGTTCCATGGTGCTATAAAATAAACCCCTGTAATGTCTATCCAACGGTGGTCGGTCTATCAACGTGTTTTCTGTAATAGATCCGAACATAAGTGTCAGCACCAATAAATATTTGACTTGCAAATTTCAAATTAACATATTCACTACGAAGTTTGATACCATTAGACGTACGAAATGTAATAAAGATTAATTATTCAAGTATGCGCTATTATAATAAATTTAAAGAATTCACTTCAGAATTTGGAGCAGTGGTTATCAACCGGTGGGTCGCGAAGAATTGAATCAGCGACTTTTTTGCGGACCGTGCTCGTCTGTAGTTTGGGTGGTATATATATGAAATAATTATCCGCTAAGAGGTTATGTTACTTATTTACTCTAAATTAAGTATCTCCTTTTAACTAAAATACCAACACGATAATTCTTTAAGAATTAACGGCGGTATTTATACGACATAGATGTTTTAAATAACCCGTACCTAATCTTTTATCTCTAACTGCGAGTTTTGTCTTCCCTCGTTTTCCTTGAAAAAAATTGAGATAATAAAATACTTTTGTCGACGATTAGTGCAAACTTATAGTATGAAAATTTTCTATATAAATTTATTCATTCGGAAACAAATCCACTTAGCATCGCAAATTTATCCGCGACCGTTCTGATTCCATCAGATAAGCTACATATACGTTTCATATGCTAATCTTGAACTGTGGGAAAACGCCTACAATGTTTCAACTACTTATATGTTTGTTTTACGTTACTATTGTAAATAGAATGGGCTTAGGAAAATACCCAAAATTACTATACATGCGAGATATCTATCGCTTTCAAATCATAGTTAAAATATTACGATTTCTATTTACTCCATTAACTAATTTAACAGTTAAACTGCAAAAGTGTAGAATTACATATTTATGTTTTTCAAGTTTTAGTTAAAAGTAGAAAAAACCTAACAGTTTTAATCAACTATTATAAATTTCATAAAAATATATGAAATATTTTAAAACAGCTTTGCAGTTTTACAACGTGCGCACACCTGAAACTAAACTATCGCACAACTGTTTAGTCTTGCATTAATTTCTATAAGCTTATATGGAGGTGCGCACACTACTCGATTTTTAATTGTACAACTAAACAAGTGCATTGGCTGTAACAATTGACAATCGCAGAACAGTTGGGTGGTAGTTTAGTCAAGTGTTCTCTTAGCATTATTTAATGGTCCCTAAAATTTTATGTGAAATCTACATAAAGGGACTGCCACCTTGAATCTACTCTCATTGGGTCATTGAATAGTTTAAAATGATCTATTCAAATTAATGCAAGTATGTATTTTTATCAGAAACATATTTCAATACTACACATATCTTAGTAAGGCCGGGCCTTCGTGGGCTGTGAAGATAGCGCGGCATATATTTTTTTTATTAGTAAATTGAGTGAGCCATTCAACCGGTTATAGTCTGCATTAAATAATTTATAGACGAGGAGCGGAAATACCGCCTCCGTTGACGTACTGGTTAGCGATTTCACAATATTTCGCATTACTGAATACTCATTTAAATATATATTTAAAGCAATTTAGAGCTTTAGGAGATTTTTCAAGTGAATAAGCGTGAGTTCTTTGTAATATACAATTAACTGCATCATTTGAAAAAGTATAGACAAATTCTATATTTTAATAATCCCCAAGTATTAGATTTTCTTGTACTTTCAGAATTTTTCTCACATACATCTTACTATTATTATAAATTCGATAATTTAAATGGATGAATGGATGTTTGTAGCCAAAAAGGATTCCCATGAAATTTAGCATAGATGAAGAGATGGGTCTGGAAGAACACATAGGCTACTCGCTTTTGTTTTTAGTTAATTCCACGCGGGCGGAGTCGCGGGCGAAAGCTAGTATTGATATAAAAAAATCTTACCAATATCTCCGATTTGTCTCCAATAGATGTTACTTATAGCGTCCATAGCGTAATAGAAATGCGAAATAAATTTGACTGGATACAACCAAAACGGCAGCGATGATATTCGTAGAAAAGCTCCCGACATCAGGAATAGCGGTAAATCAGCGCACGGCATTACGTCAGCCATCATGCCACTCGATATGAATAAGGCTCCCATACCAAGACCTAGAAACAAGGGTCCTTGAAAATGTTAAGTTTTAACCTATAAAAACGATTGAATGAGGAAGTTTTAGAGTAGCCCTAATAGTAGAGAAGTTAAGGAGTAAAAGGTTAGCTTGGTAAGGTCATGTTATAAGGAGGGATGAATCACATGTAACAAGAAAGACGTTACTTATTAGTGCGGAGGTACACCGGTAGAGGTAGACCTAGAAAGAGATACATTAATTGCGTGAAAGGTGACATGATCAAGAAGGGAGTGATGACTGAGAAGACGTATGATAGAGTTATTTGGAGTACGAAAGTCTGGTCGCCGACCCTATTGGATTAGGATAAGGTAGGGATGCTGATGAATACACAGAGGTTTGTAACTGTATTATTTTGCACACCTTTTAAAATAAAATCACTTTCTATTTAATTTATTCACAGCATTATACTTACCATATGCAGTAGACGCGAACCCTGATATAATAAGAGCGATGTAAAGTTCTAGGACAGTTAGAGAATGGTTTGGTAACTCCACAGTAGACGCTGTTATGGCTACGAACGGAATTGGCCAAATTATACACCGAGGTATCTGTAACAAAATTGACGGATGAATTGGTAATACTAAAAAGAGGTTATTTTAAATCGTGTAATTTTATGTAATTTTAATGTAAATTTATAAATTCAAAAGTTGGCAAAAAATACTATTAGCAATCATAGGCATAATATACAGCTAGTTATATATCTCTGTAGAGATAACTAGTATTACAATACTAAGGTTGTATATAAAATATTGTACACAGTTTCAGCATAACCTTTTTAATAATGCATCTTTATTTACATTCTACGAGGATGCATTACAACTTTAGCGCAATAAATAATGATAAATACCAAGTAATTTATTGACCATCAATAATACGTTGTATGTTTGTTATTGATTATGTACATTAATATGTAAATTATTTATGACATTAGCAGCGACCATATTATATAATATCAAAGATGTCATCTCACCTACAACATTACAACCTTTAAACAAGACACCTTGGTCCGTTTAAACTATTTAAAATCATATACAAAAGTTTCTTTAATTATAATCGAACATATTCAGATAAAACAATATCGTTAAGAAGAAATATAGTACCGTGCTGTAGAAATGGAGCAACACTAGATTATCGGCATAAACGTCACGTCTCTAGCTGACAGCTGTCAATGTCATTAGAAGGATTGGATTTCGCGCGCATTCCTGGCGAGATCTCTAGTGGAGTGTTTAAATTAATATCGCTAGTTACAATTATATTGTTTAAAAGTAGGCATTACATTTAATATCAAACAACACTTGTTAAAGCGGTGAAATTATTAAAACTCTTACATTATTTCAGGTTTGTGTTGAAAAACGTGATAGAATTTCCAATGATTACACAGGTTGTAATTAAAAAAGTTATTAAATCAGTAACATGGTATTTAATTAGCAATTTGTAGACATTCCTTACACCAGTTTTTAATAATAATCAAGCTGTCATAAAGAAATCAATCTAAAACCGATTAAAATACCTAGCGAAGCCAAATACTTGTCTATGTCAATTAATTGTAAGACTTCATCTGTACACATAATAAAAATTGTGTGTTTATAATATCAAAAGAAAAAAGGTGATGTTTTTGCCTTGCAGATAACGAAAATCACATTTAAAATGTTTTGTCTGTCTGTCCGCAAGCCGCGTATGTTCCGGGTAATCTCCGAAATGACTGGGCCTATTTCAACCGGACTTTCACTGAAGGGTAGCTAACATAGGTTGGAATGTTTTAGGCTACTTTTTTATCTTAATATTGCGTGGACCAGGTCGCGGGCAAATACTATGCAAATATATGTAACTACGTGTATATTTATGTATACCATTACTAATATAATGATGTAATAATAACAAATATTTTAATAAGATTTTATAGATAACAACAAAGTAACAAAAATAAAAGGTGTTTTCCTATTTTGGTCACAACATTTACATAAACACAATCTCCGAGCATAAATTATGTTTTATCGTCACATATTACGACTTTTATTATAAAAATTTCAGTAAATTTTGTGGAAAAATAATGTAGTCGCATCTAACATGTGTGTACTTCCATGCTATCGCGTCCTTGGTTTAAATTCGAGAACCGTGATCATGTAATTTTTAATATTACATTGCGTTTTATTCTAACTCATATCTTTAAGATTGAAAAAAAAACGTTGCCGGTTTCACTAAAACATGTATCAATAAATTTTCTCGTCACACAGATAATCTATATCTAACAATCTACATAGTTAGAAACAAATTACTTTTGTCACTAAAGCAATTATTTTTAAAAACATCTTTTTAAACGATTTATATATAAGTTTAATTACAGTTACAAGAATTTCCACGAAACGATATCTTACTCGTTATATAAAATTCATTCACTTACTCTAGTCTAAATCTATTAATTGACATATTTTATCTATCTGATATCGTAAACACACACCACTTTGTGACGTAGGATGTCAGCAATTAAAGTATATTTTTGAATAATCCTTGCATTAATAAAAAGCCCTACACTTACGACACGCTTAGGTTATATATTTTCACGCTTTTAAACTTAAGAGTTAAATAAATTGAAAAAAACCGTCATGTGGGAAAGGGACCATACACTACAAGCTGCCAAGGAAGCAAGGTTATTATAATAATTTTGCGATTTGCAATTGGGAATTTGACAAATGAAAACAATAAAATAAAGTTTTTATAATTCCATGCGGATGAAGCCGGACGGGAAGCTAGTCTATAATTAATTTTTTACATTATACTATCGTGTTGAGACATCTCTTGTTTCTCTAATTTAGTGATCATCGACCTTGTTTATATCGACAATATGTAGATCAATAAATATTGTTTCCGATACAGATATGTAAATAAACTGGTCTACAGTAAAAGTAGTATACGTCCTTTTGCCATACTGAAGATAATTATGTCATTACCACATTTATTTCGTTTAAAGCAATTTAAATATGAAATATATACGATTTGTGTCGGAGTAAGTCAAGGGCGCTTACAAGTTTATCTGATGGTTATAAAGAAAATGAAAGTCAATACGTCATGGAAAAGTTGATTTTGAACATAGAGATATTTATGTCCTTATCTCCAATTTATTGATATAAAATTTGTTCTATCACCTTCATTTAAAACTACAAAAATAAAAAGTAATCTTTCTGAAATAAAAAATTTGAAGATTTAGATAGATAGATGGAGGGTTTTTTTGACAGAATTTGTAGCCTAAACTGCTGAACAGATCCCTATTAAATTTGGCATAGATATAGAGCATTGTGTGGAAAACACATAGGACTTAGGTTTATACTTTTATTGCGAAAGGAATGTCGAGCAAAACCCAGTTATAGACAAATAAAATAAACAATCACAAACCTCATTTAGAAATCTTGCAACGAAATAAGCAGACACGCTATACATGCCGACTTCTCTCTTGAATAGCGATAGATCTGCTTCAAACGCGTAAAGCGCAGCATAAGATAGGCTGAAGGAAACTTCACTACAGATGAGCCACAATAGGCCTCTTAGGTTTTGTACACCTCTTTGTGTCGTCCCCTTACTGCCGGCAAAACATATGCCGATCACTACTGCACCTATCACCTAGGACAATACATTAAATTGACTCAATTTTACATACTTCATCTATCGTCTATATACATGTAATAAAATTGGAGTGTCTATTTGTAATATTTAAAGAAAAACAGATATCGGGACGATAATGCATATCTGTTGCTGACAACGAAAATCGAATCTAAAACATTTTTTGTCGGTCTGTCTGTCCGCAAGCCGCGCTTATTCCGGATAATCTCCGAAACGGCTGGTATGATTTCGGCCAGACTTTCACTGAAGGGTAGCTGACATATGGGGCATGTTACATTATTTTTATCCTAATATTGCGTAGACGAAATCGCGGGCAACAGCTAGTATTCCATAAAAAGAGGACTAAAAACATTATTTTTGGTATAAATTGCTAATTTTAAACCCACCTTACTCATCAATGTAAAATCGGAAATGGAACGTAAGATAAGTAATGCACGGCAATGGCCTAATCTTAGATTAAACATATCGTAATGCATTCAAACAACAACCCGTATCCCACATTAGCAAGGGACATATAAAACCAAAGAGAACCGTAAACAAATCAATTTATGGATACCTTCGGTCATTATTTAAAACCACCAACAGTCCCGATATTTTCTTTAAATATATCGAAGTTGACTGTGTTTGAATTATTTTGTAACTAGACTCGGTTACAATATCTGTATAATAGATAAATTACGAAAAGAAGTATGATTATTAGTTTAATTGAATAATTTTTGTTTCTATCAGTACAATAAGGATAAATAAGCGTAGATTAACAAATAAGCAAAGTGTATTCCGAATTTAATAAACGTGCACTTTCATTGCTAAAACACTCATAAAAAAACATATCGTTGGCTCTCACAGAATGAAAGGGATAACAATATTCTGTATGTACTTTGACAGTAGATATCCACGGTTACTACAGCTGTATAACAAAGCAAACGTATTTTTATGAATTCAATCTAAATAACATTACAGTCTTTTAATACAGTTCAAAATCCTTTTGATGCTTCATTTATCAGTCGGCGTAAATTACATTCATAAACATAAAAGTTATTGCAAAAATACGATAAATATACAGCGAAATTGTTGTAAAGATCGCTTGAATCCTTTAGGCTTTTGATCAAAAAGTTACGTTGATTACTTAGCAGATATTGCTTATTACAAGATATCCATTTAATCCAGAATTTCCCAGCAATCTATATTCGTTTTTACTTTTTTATTCAGAATGCGTTCAATAATCCTGTATCTTAAATATTAAGTACATCCAGCGCTTAATTCGAACACTGCCCGATGTGTCAAACCAAATACGAGGTACACAATATACGTGTGTACACTGATCTGTATAAATGGACAGGCCATTGCTTGAGAGTTACTTCTCTGTTATTCGTATGGATTCACACCACTATCTGCAACCTTCAACGTCAAAATGGCGAAAATTAATAAGCACAAAATATGTCTTCTAACCTGTCCATTTGTAGAGGTCAAGGTAATATGTACAATGTATATTATCATGTAATTCCAATTGAATATCTTACCGTGGATAATAGTAGTGAGATTGCGAGATTTTTATAATTTCTTCTGAGTCGTATTGAAAACCTCCACATTAGTAATTGTACTTGTTTGGACCAACTTCTATTGCGTCTGTAAGATAATAGAATTAGTTTTTAAACGGTTTTTAAAATGCAACCAATCTTACTAATATTATAAATGCCAAAGTTTAGATAGATGGATGTATGTTAGAGTTTTCAGCCTAAACCGCTGAACAGATCTCGATGAAATTTGGCATAGATGTAGAGCATATTCTGGAAGAACACATAGGCTACTTTTGTTTTTTTTTTTTATTTAATTTAATATTTCACGAATACTGTAATTGAATTATACTACGTTAACATAAAGTTATTTGTACAGGTCAGTTTGCGTAATTATTTCAAAATCATGGTAACAAAAACTAAAAACATTGTCGTGTTCAGTTGAGTGCTGAGCTTTTTTAACGGCCTTGCGTGCGAGACGTATAATTTGTAGACTATGTAATTTTAGTTCGAGACGGGACAAGTTTTTTGTCTCTTAACCGGAGTTAGTCCCATAAATTCTAAAGCTATTTTCAATGCAACTGTAATATACTAAAACTCTGCAGTGACTATAATTTTTAAAGAATTCAACAATTCAAGGATTATTCCCAACCGTCACCCCGCTGTGTCCCCACGTGAGAATAATGTTTCATACGTCCCACTATCACCAATAAGTAGACTGATGTAACCGTTATGAAATTAAAAAAAAGTTCCAACCGTCCCCTCGTCGCAAAAGGTGGGACGGATGAAACTTTTTATTCTCATCTGACTCCACGTGAAGACGAAGCAGGGTGAAGGTTGGGAATAATCCTAACTCAACCATAAATAATCATTGTATATGATAAAGCCATCATTATATTTAATTCCTTAATTTATACTTTACATTGACCTTGTAGAATGTTACTTTTAATATTCAACAAAAGAATGTCGAGCTAGTGTAAATATGCATAAATTACATACAGATTAACGAACCATAGACTTAACGTTTATTTCATAATGTTGCGCAACCTTAATGGCCCATAACATGGGAGGACGTGACACGTTTGATGGCGAACCGTGAATTTCCACTACGAAACAGCTACACTAAAATGTAACAGTTGGTTGCTTGTAGATATTAAGACAGGCGATACACTGTTTTATAAATATTTCGACAAAGATACTCAAGTTTGTATAGCGGCTCTACGTTTGATCATAGTGAAGTATTTAACACATTATTCAATGCCAAAAACGTTGATAAAAGTTTTCTATCTATATCACTTAAGATAACCTTTCGAATTTAATTACAGTGAAGTTTTTTGCTCGCTACCGTTATTTTAACGACTGCAGCAAACATTGGGACAAGAAATGTCTAGGAAGTTTATGCAAAAGCACAGCTAAGGTCAAATAAGTTATTTCTACAAAGCTCAGGCTATCACTAATTGTGGTAGTATAGACAGACTGTATTACTTATTTATTTAAATATTACGATATTACCTTGACAATATTAATAAAAATAAAATGACCATAAAAGCATTGAAAAGGCCTTCACGGTGTTTTAATTACCAATTTTATTGTATTACTCATTTGAATATATTTTAAAATAAGTAAAGGACTTGTTAAAAATTCTCATAATAATGTAAATCCACATCAACTGATATGCTTCTAACATTCATTAGTGATACTTCAAACTAATTTAAAACCGGTCATAGCAGTTAAGATTTTCTAATAGATTACAAACAACAAATAGGTCGAAAGCTGTGGGCGTTTCGGGTAAGTTCTATCACTCACACTGGGAGGCGCGGCATCACGTGAGTCTCGCAACATGTTTCGTCGCACTGATGGAACCGGTTTCGGTTATTTTCCATGATCCTATCCACATAGTTTTCGTCGGCACACGGATAAGACGACACGGCCTTGATGTAGAACTCCGCAGGGTTGTAATTCTTCGGGCAACGTAGGTTAAGGCTGTAAACAGAAAATTAAGTTTGTTAAATAATATCTAACTATAGTTTTAATGTTAGGTTTCTATTTACTTGACTTTATAGCAAATTACTATCTATACTATTATAATAAAGCGTAAACACACACTTCTTTGTTGCCTAAGATGCTAACATCTATCAAAGAATTATTAATTTTTAGCAATTACAACTTATTTCTGAATAATTCTTTTTTTAACAAAAAGTACTACACTTACGTCACGCTTTAGGCTATATATTTTTCACGCCATTAAACTTAGGGGGTAAATATTTTGGATAAATACCCTAACGAGGGAAAAAGACCATAAGTTGCTGCCAACATCAAGGAAGCAAGATTGACAAGTTTTGTTTAGACATTTAGACATTTAGATATTTGCAATTGACAATTTGACACATGTAAACAATAAAATAATTTTATGCTGAGCACGGGAACAGCTAGAGTTTGTATAAAAATATAAAATAAGAAAATTAATTTATGCTTCAGAAAAAGATTATTTAAGTTGAATATATTAAAGTAAAGTGACAAAGAGGATGTTAATGTTAAGATAAGAATCGTATGAAGTTTTTTCTTGCATCGCTAGAGCCGTCACCCGTTAAGATCTTGTGATAAAATTTATTTGACCACCCAACACTTCTATATGTTTGATCCTAAGGAGTACCGTAATAAATATAAAAGATACAGGATTAAGTCGAGTGTACTTTAGGAATGTATGTACTATACTGGAAGAACTAAGAGGTAACTACATACAAGGTACATTTAGTGACGACTCTTGTGTCAACAATCCTAAAACATTTTTGCAAGAACAGTAAAAGGTTGCCCGATATTTAGCTACATTATTACATTTCTCTATTTACCCTTTGTTTACCAATACAAGTATCATTAATGCGAAAGTTGGGAAATATGGATATTTATTACTATACGTATCTCCCAAACGGCTTAACGGATCACAATGAAATTTAACATACATGTAGATCATAGTCTTTACTGTACTGTCATGTTAGTTTCGAATTACTAATATAAGAGATTACTAAAACTATTCAAATAAAAAGCAGGCGACAGATAAAAACGGGATCCACGCTTCATTTAAAAGTAACTTAACCAGTTCCCAATGCTTTTAACCGACTATCATTTTAACATAGAATGTACATTATAATGGGGGATACATTACTAAGGAAATGATAAAAAGGAAACACTATAAAATAAAGAAAAAAAACAAGCTAAACGTTTTAAATCTATTGAGATAGACAAGGTAACAATCACTCTTTCAACCAACCTATTAAAAATCAAACATGACAAGGGGCGGATAACGAACGTAATTATCCAGTTTGAGATTCTACCGAACTCATTTACTTATAGTTTCGTTTTCCGTGGTTACAACGACGCAGCAATTAACTTAAAATTACACCGTTTACGTGACTACCTGGTAAGCAGGCTAGTATTACGAAAATATATATTATTGGGTAATTTCTATAATTGTCCGCTGTCGCTGACACAGAAAAACCGAACTGTTTACATCAGAAATAACTGCTATTAACTTCTTTATCATAAAAAGGACACGAACAAATTTAGATAATACAATTAAGTTAAATTGATTTTAAGTATAATTTTACCTTAAATAAATACGACAAAAGCAAGTTTTTCTAAATTTATTTCGATTAGCAGATCTTTATGTGTATTTCCTTGACCTAAATAATTACATTCAACATCTCTACATTTAATAAACTTTTTAAAACACACAATAATCTATGCAGGTGTTTTTTTAAGTATGAACAATTTCCTTAAAAGGAGAAATGTAAAAAAATAAAAATTGAATTTTAAACTTGAATTACTCATTATTTATCCAATTAAGATAAACATTGTCGTAAGATCGTGTTTAAAATGACAGGACATGACCAAAATAAGAGGCTTGAAAGTTCAGTTACAAGTCATAAGGCCGTTCACCTTAACCATGGATTGAAGTACTCGTATGTTATTGGCATTTCGACTAAGAGTTAGTGCACCTAATTATTATAGCTGATGTAAAAACCAATATTTTTAAATTTTTAACATTAAGAGAAAAATTGAATACTATAAACGCGACTTGCTATGCGTTTATTACGTGAAAATGGTATTTGAAAAAGTTTGTGCTTTTTTTTTCAAATTAATATACTTGCCTTTGAAACAGATTCCGACAGTCTTCATGGCTGCCGTGAAATAGCAGCTTGCCTTCTGACATTAAAGAGATAGAGTTAAACTCTTTGAATAGATCCGAGGATGGTTGATGTACAGAGCATATGACAATTTTTCCTGTCATTGAGAGACCTTTCAGCAGCCCCACAACTAAAGATGCATTATAACTGTCCAGGCCGGTTGTTGGCTCGTCACATATTAGGATTTGTGGGTTTGATAATAGCTGGAAATATGGAAATAATATTGCATTATTCTATTGAATTTCATATAAGGTTCTAGAGAACGTAATTTTCGACATGGTTTTATATGTTAATGTGATACTTCTAAAACTTAACTGCAAGAAAAAGCTTCCAAAAGAAATCTTAAGTATTTTTCTAAAATAATAAAACTATAAATAATATTTATAACTACTGCATAATCTACTAAATAACAAGCTTAATTTGTCGTTATGCTGACAAACAACACTTTAAAATAATATACGACAATGTATAACTTGTTAGACATGATAATTTGAGAGATATTTTTAGATTTATCGGTATTCAAGTCAATTGTAAGCCGGTTATTTGAGGTTACAAATCATGGTATTAACCTATAAAGCTATTCAACAGCTTCACTATAGCCCTGAACTATACAAACGATATAATAACAGTGTCGATCCGCCTCTAATGACCGTGGGAGGGACGTACAATGGACTATTGAAAATAACAAAATAAACTCGTAAGTTTACTTCCGTCTTAGATACTAATTTCTTTTGAGTTTTGAAATTCAATGAAAGTGGTCGTAAAACGTTTTGGTTGAAAGAATTTGATAACATTTCAAGAAGCCGCGTTTCTTTTGCATTTAATATCGTTTTGATTTATGAGACCGTGTAAATCAATAAGACCACACAGAATTTCACAATAACATTATGATCATTAAATAATTGTTTAAATTTTACTTTTTTATGATTTTTCGTTCTTTGTAGTTAGAAAAAAGACAATCGTTTAATCCGACAGAAGCTTCTAGAGTGAAAATATCTCCTGTTTTATTATTATTAATACTTACAGATGAAGCTAATGACAACAATCTTCGTTCCCCACCAGATAGTGACTGAATTAAAGTATTCTCATGTACTTTCAATTTTAACATCTCCATTATTGCATTTAAAACTGTGCTGTTGTTTTGATTTTTCGCGCTGCCACTTTTAATTTCTGTCTGAAAAAAAAAAATACTTTTATACGCTTTTGACAAGAAGTCTGAGGTGCTATCCCATCATACACTGAACTTCACTCCGTCACTTCGTTATTTAAACCAGAAGTGTCATAGTAAACAGACAAAGTAGCCAAAAAACTTATAAATATCGCTCACCATAAACACCAGATGCTCCTTAACACTGAGACAATCCATGAAAACATCAAACTGCGGTAATATCTCCACTTCACCAGGTTGTAAATCGGTTACATTTCTGCCATTCACAGTCACCACGCCCTCTGACGGCAATGTACATTTCCCGCACAATGATACTAAGTATGTCGTTTTTCCTGCACCACTAAGAATAGGGAGAATTAAGAAATAGAGTACATTGTAGAAGACATACGAAAGACACGAAATGACAGGTCAAATGAGTAGTGTACTTGACTTGTAGTTTTGCTATTCTTTGACTGGTTTTGTAGTACTATTCACTTGCGTATTATAATATTTAAAATAATATATTTATTATCACTTTCATCAAGTGGAATCATCGTCAAGCTTAACTTTACGTAAAAAAAAACTGATATATTACCTCGGACCAAGGATCGCTAAAAATTCTCCAGATTTTATGCAGTCGCTGACTGAAATTAAAAAAAGTAAGTTGTAGAAAAATAATAAACGGTTACAAAGACACTGACTGAAATTAAAAATGCAACTTATAGGAAATTGTAAAAAGTTATGAAGATTTAATACCCACCTTGCTACTAAGGCAATGACCTCGTCCTTGTACGAACTATTATACAATTTGACATAAAGAGGTCGTAGTTTTTTATTTCAAAGTCTTTGGACCAAAAAAAGGGATGCCGCAGGTAGATAATTTGATAATTAAATTGAAAGTAAACAGAGCAGGTGGTCACTATAATGATACGAATACGAACCTTTGGTAATCGTACGAGTTCAACGAATTTTATAGAATCATTTTTAATTATTTTTTAATACTATTGACTTTTTATTACTTACCGTTATTTAGTATGAGCGTTTTCGGTTTACTTGGTTTTTTTCTCCACCATGATTTCTCTTCCGGTGTCCATACTTTGAGCTCTCTTACCTTCAGAACCACATCAACTATCCCCAAAAAATCATCATTTCTCTGGAATTATTTATAAAGACATATTCATTTTAACTGCTTAGATAATGTTTTTTATGATAAGTCTTCGAACATACTTGTATCAATTGACTTTTCACCGATGGGTAGGAAATTTATATCCTCGACTGTATTCACGAGAATTTCGCAACACGCTAATTATTACAAATTCTAAACTGTGGAGAGGTTTTTGCACGTGTATGTCGACCTGTATCACATTTTATATTGCCATAATAAAACACGAAATGTCGCCCTGTTACCCTTCTGTTTGGATTTAATTTCAGAAGGTGCAACATAATTTCATCTCCAATAATTGTGGGAATCTTCATTTACGAGGCGAATGTATTCGAAAGAAATATTTTTTGTTAATTTTTTGCTTGTTATTACCTTCATCCGGACCCAAGAGGTTTCATATGAGAACACCTTTATAATCACCAATACGAATGTGACATCGATGGAATTTGTTAAATTATTTCACAGGCTTTTCTGTATTTACCAATACATAACAAATTTTCTTGGAATAACTAACTTATGAAAGCCAAAAAGTTAATTAAATAATTAATATAAATTAAAATTGGTTAGTCTTAATGAAGTTTATACAAGTTTTAAGTTGCGTCATCTTATAAGAAGCTTACCCGAAACTTTTTAAGTAATAACTACTGCAAAGCTTCTGAGAAAGAACCTTGATTACTTGGATTGTACAGTTAGTAAGTAGACTGAAGCCTTGTTCTTCTAAGACTAGCTTTTTTACCATAACTATCTACTCCCTCTTTAAGTGCTTCTCCATTAATGGAGGTTGGCCGTCAGCTCATCGAACTTTTCCCGGTCTTGTGCTAAGCGAAAAAGGTGTTCTACGCTGGCAATATTCGTCCACTCCTTGATATTACAACATACATCACGAAACAATGATTTAAAGTACGCATTGTAACAAACGTTATAAAGCATATTTTAAAGCCGTATGCTTCACACTTTCTGTACAATCAAAGACATAATAAATAAAATTATACAAGGTTACCTTTGGTATCTCCATTTATAATTAACAAAACACAAACTGCACTACATTTGACAACGTACAATATATTATAACAGGAGACAGTTCAAAAATCCAGTACAGCAATACGATGAGATTGAGAAAGAACTGCCGGCGCCATATCTCACAACGAGATTGTTGTTCAAACAGATAACAGATTGCTTTATTTATGCTTGACGTTAATGTAGTTTGTCCTGTAGACTGAGTAAATGTAATTAGAGCGGACGTACACCTTTGACTAAACTATCGCACGATAGTTGTGCGATTGTCGATTGTTTCCCAGCCCACTTAACAATTTAGTTGCACAACTAAAAATCGAGTAGTGCTTGCACCTCCATATAAGATTATGTGAATCAAAGTAAGACTAAACAATTGTGCGATAGTGTACTTGAAGGTGTGCGCGTTCTGTATGATTCGCTTTTGTAACGCAATTTTTCTTTTTTGTTAACAATAGCGTGCCATTTAGCAAACCAGTTACAATGATTGTAGCCTTTTGACAGGATGCAAAAAATTCCTACCAAAAGATAGTTACTCTACAAAGATAAAGTTGAAATGTCTTTGTTTTTTATCAACAAATTTTATTACTAATCTATACAATAAAAATGTTTAATTACATAGTTAAATCTAGCGGTTCTTAAATTGTCTACTACGTTCTGCAAAGTCATGTGTAAAAATAAAAAAAATATGTTTCCGCCCGGGATCGAACCGGGGGCCTTCTGCGTGTTAGGCAGATGTGATAACCGCTACACCACGGAAACTTGATTCTTACACTGTTAATTAAGTTACAAAAGAAATTAACTATTAAAAAATACGTTAATGTCTTTTTAGTTCTGCACTATTTTAGGAAAATATATTATCACCCTCGACTCCGTCCGCGTGTAATTAAAAAACAAGCTAAGTAAGCCTATATGTTCTTCCAGACTATCCTCTACATCTATGATAAATTTCATCGAGATCCGTTCAGCAATTAAGGCTACAAACCCTAACAAATATCCATCCATCCATTTAAACTTTCTCATTTATGATATTAGTATGATTTGATTTTTATCTCCCAGGTACGTCATATTTGGATTTAAGAGATTAGGATTCAATTTTATTACATTAACAATTGTTAGTTTTCCCTTTGTTTGAAAGCAATACCGTTCTATCTGGTAACAATAAACTCACAAACACAAGAGAATAGCTAATAGTAATTACCAGAATTCAGTTTATGTTACACTAGCTGTTGCCCGCCACTTCGTCCACGCAATATTAAGAAGAAAAAAGTAGCCCGTTTATGTTACATTGACCTTCTGAAATAACAAACAATGCAGAAAACATTTGCAAATGCCAAAATACTTAAACGTGTTATACCAGTAGGTTTATAGCAAAAGTGTGAACGTTGTGTTTAGCATTTGTATTTTTATTACCTAGTATTTTTAGATCAATTACAATGAAAGATTTGTGCTACGAAAGATATACATAAAGTTATAATATACTAGCTGTTGCTCTCGACATCGCCCGCGTAAAATTAAAAAATAACAATAAACATAGCCTATGTTACTCGCTGATAACGAAGCTTTTTAATGGTGAATGAATTTTTAAAATCGACCCAATAGTTTTTGAGTTATATCAATACATATGAAAATACAAATCTTTTCTCTTTATAATAGTAGTTTAAATATGTAGTATCAAAAATTAATTATGTGATTAGCAAACGTATTTGCGTCAATATTTACTCTATACCAATATAATAAAGCGGAAACACACACTACTTTGTGGCGTAAGATGTCAGCAATCACAGCATATTTTTGATTAGTCATTTCTTTATTAAAAAACTCTACATTTACGAAACGTTTAAGGCTATATATTTTTACACTATTAAACTATGGGTTAGATAAATTGAAAAAAATCTTCATGTGGGAAAGGGACCATAAAAGCTGCCAACATTAAGGAAGCGAGGTTATTATGGTTAGGCCTTCATTGTTTTTTGTGGTGCATTTGAATTTTGACATTTGCAACTGAGAAGTATTCAAATGTAAAAAATAAAGTAAGTTATTATAATTTCACGCGGATGAAGACGCACGGGAACAGCTAGTTCTGTAATAAAAGCCGTATCAAATGAGAATATCGGGCTTCTAAATATATTTGAAAAATAGGTGTCGAGTACCTATTATACGCCAATTCTAGTTCTTACTACATTAATTTTTTATTACTAATAACTAATATTATAAATGCGAAAATTTAGATGTATGGATGAATGTTACTACTTATCTTCAGAATAACAGATCTCGCTGAAATTTCCCACAGACTGAGAGATATTAATTTTAAAACTTTTACTTTAATGTTTCGTCTTTTGCTTTACAACAGCCACACCTTTGACTGAAGTATCGCACAACTATTGTATTGTCAATTGTTCCCAATCAGTTGTTTCGTAGCACAACTAAAAATCGAGTTATGTGCGCACATAAACTTACAGGATTCAAAGCGCGACAGTTGTACGATAGTCTAGTCAAATGTTCTTAAATCAAACTCATATTTCTGTTAAACACTTTTATTAATATTACAATAAATTTCATTCGCTCTCGTTAAATAAGTAATACTTATAACACAACGTTACAGATGTACTTATACACACAATAATGTACTTTATATTTGTTTTGTTTTAGCCCGCACATGGCACTCAATAACTCCATGAATAAATGCACATTAGTGCTTCGACAGTTGATATGGATGGAAATTACGCGGTCGTTACAAAAAAAAACAACCCGACAAATTATAAAAATATACACAGCAATCGCTACTTTAAACTTAACTTTGATTTATAAAGAAAATAACATAAATATAGCCACTTAATATTATAACAGATTTGTACCGCATAAATTCCATCTTATAGATAACCACACTTAAAAATAACAACTATTCACGTATTAATAATAGACAAAAACAATAAGAGTCAAAATTACAATAAAAACATGTCATAAATTCGTTCAGAACAGGCACTTTAAATAATATATCTTTAAATATGGTCATAAGAATCAAACCAAAAACACACAATAAAACTCATTATTACTTAAAGCCCCTTCACTATTTCAGGAACCATATAAAGATTATATTTATTACGATATAAGTATATTTAAAGATCATAGTCGAAGTTGTAAAGATAAGAAAAATAGATAGAAGGTTAAAATTGTACTTTTTGTTTTGTTTCAAAATGTTATCTATAAATTGTACATAGATACCGTTAACATTTTGATGTGTTCTAAATTTAAATTTGAATTGTCCCGGAGTCATAATTTGCTGGCTTCCTATTGGACCAGAATAATTTTGGAGGGTGCTGATTGGTCTGTTCGTATACTGCAGCACGAGGGCGGCTTGTGATTGGGTCAGCAGGCGCACGACTTGCCGCCGCCGCCGCCGCTTCTGCTGTTCTCACCGTTAGCTATCTTGTGATCGAGCGCGAATCTCTCGCCGTCCTTGTCGTTATTGTGTAGCAGCTTGTCGTTTAGAAGGATCTAGTAATAACAAATATAGGTTAAGTACACTTTAGACAGAAATAATCATCTTTCACCATTAACTTAAACATAGGTATTTCACTAAATGCTACAAATGTTTTTGTAGACTCTACCACTCTTAAGTATAAGGAAATGTCCTTAATTATATTATAACCTTAAATTTTAATATTTTTAGTTCATGAGCTTTTGGAAACATAACTAAGAGAAAAAACAAATGTTAAAAGTGAATAAAATGTAAACATGAGATTGTTTCACACCAAAAGTTATAACATTATTTGAATGTAAAATTCATTTGAACTCACTTTTGAATCGATTCAAAATAATCATTACGCAATTTTAAAACCATTCAAAAACCCTAAAGTTCTTTACGGTTGTTTTATGTTAATTCCAAGGATAAAATTTGATACGATTATGTTCGTTGGAAATAAAAATTGAGACATTAACCTTTTCGAAATTGCACTTAATATTAAAAAGTTCTTATCCATCTTCATAACTTTATCAAGAAACTTAATTGCATCTTTTTTGTATGAATCAATATTTTGACTTCTGTTTGAAGATATCGCGATGCGATCTCTGATCTGATCTCTAAATCAATTAATTATACATTAAAATAATTAATTATTAGATTTGAATGCCAATTATAAGAATAATATATGCATGGGTACACGCCTCATTCGAGGTCATTGCAATAAAACATGAGGTTATGTTAAGATAAAATCTATCGTTAATATTAAATATATTATTGCACAATAGTTATGGAATTTTCATAAGCAAATAAACACCTAGACATCTATTATAATACTTCATTCAAAGTATCATTTTTAACGTTAAAGTTCGAAACCTCGTCATTTTTTCCTTTCCCCGTTTAATCTGCATTATAAGTGTAGTGAATATTCTCACCTTATTGACTAAGGAGCGCGCAGCCTCTTCGATGTTTATGTTCTCTTTGGCGGAGGTTTCGAACCAGCCCGCGAACCCTTTCTCGCGACAATACTCCTCCATCTTGGCTGAAGAATTCACGATACCTTCCTTTTGCTGATCGCACTGTAAGCAAAAAGTACAATTTAGTGTAGGTAAATGCTTCTAGAATTACAATACCATATAGAAAAAAAAAACAAAGACCCAAAATATTCGGTCCACGGTCGTTTAGCATTGAATGGTAAAAATCAGAAACCCAAGTCCTTTGTATGTTCATTCCATCCTATTTTGCAAAACCAAATTTCTGCTTACTGTTTTAAATTTAAACGGGATTAGATGTATAAAGGGCGCTGCTCATTAATTTAATTTCAAGATGCAAACATATTTCCTATATAAATACGTTAACTGTACCACAACATGGATACGCAGAAAGAGAAATTTCAACTAATTATTTCGTACCTTATTCGCCAGTAGTATACAAGGTATGGGCGTTCCATCAGGTAGCTGCACCTTGGTGTCGAGGTCGTTCTTCCACTTAACCACAGCATCGAATGTGGCCACCCGAGATACGTCGAAGACGATGAACGCGCCCACCGCCTCTTTGTAGTATACACGCGTCATGTTGCCAAACCGCTCTTGTCCTAGAATATAACAAACAATATTTTACTATCATTGAATTAAGGTTTTGAATATCTTGACGACTTGAACGTCGCGTCGTATGAGTCGTTGTGTTGAACACAATTTTAGCTGAAGCGGTGCGTTAAGCACGCGTCGATTCAAACATTGATCTTAAGACAAAATTAGGAATAGTGGTAACTGTAACCGTTGCCAGACTTACATAGAATACTTCAAAGTTCATACATAAATAAGATTAATTTGGAACCATGATTAGCAATGCAAGGAATAATAGACAATAAAGCAACATTAATATAAAAAACATCCAAGCGAAACTCAAACTAAGTTCATCCATATTTCATTGAATCATTCAATTATTAGACTGTCAAAATTGATACTTGTCCTAAAATGTCAGTAAAAAAACTTCTTTCATAGATTATAACATAAAAAGAAAACAGGTTCCTTGCGTCATAAATAGAAACTTTTTTCTAATAATTGTAATTAACTCTAGAGTTAAAAGTAAGTATAGAGAGGACAACATTAATCTTAAACTATAAAAAAGGCCGCGTCACTAGTCCTAGATATGCGACTTGGTAAATAGACTGAAACTCTACTTTTGCGGTCGCTTTTGGGAACTTTAGTTTGTAAGAGGTTTTAACAGTGTACTTACCTGCGATATCCCATAGCTGCAAGCGTATAATTGTATTCGAGTCCCAATTGAGAACTTTGAGAGCGAAGTCAACACCAATGGTGGCGCGGTAGTGCTGGCTGAAGAACTGATGCACGTAGCGTTTGATAATGGACGTCTTCCCAGTACCCAGCTCACCTATCACCAGGATCTTGTACAGATGTTCCCGCCGTTCGGCACTAGGGGTCGCATGCGACTGCAACAATTATATCATATTAGAATGTTGTTTTTATTAAGGTAATTATTGGATATTTCAACTTCATTCTTTTTTCAAAATTAGGTTAACAGAGATGCTCTCTTGTTTTATATAAAGATTACTGCAGTGAACAAACAAAAGTACACCTTCAAGGTATTTTAGTATACTAAAATAGCGCATTCTAGAACAAAGCCGCAAGCGAGACGGTCAAAGTACTAGACGGTAAATACATAATCCCTTCACAACACATGTATGTCGGTACGTTTAGATGCAGGGACACGCAAACGTTTTGTTTACCGGCCACCGGCTGACGACGACTATCTTCTAATTAGTGTCAATTAAAGACCTGGTAAGGACGTATTTGATGACGTATATCCTTTGATCGTACACGAAGATAGCTTTAAAAAATTTTGTTACTAATTTTACTCCTTATTAACCTTGCCAATATATTTTCCACAGATACAGAAGTCCCAAGTCTAGGTTAAACTTTAACATAGATTACTTCTGATTATTAAAAATTCTACTCTTCCCGAAGGTTTATTTGTAATGATTACTGAATTGCGGAACGAAGTTACATTTTACTTCCCTACATACGAAGTCGTGGACAGCAACTATTATCTAAATGTGAATTATTAAGTAAATGAGAACTCAATTCCTGGTTAAGTGGAACGCCAAATACATGTAAAAGAAATTTTTTAACTCCATCGTTTTTCTAATCCGTTAAATAAGTACTGTTACAGATAACTATAACAAAATCTTTATTCAGAAGAAAGTGTATATAATATTAATATAGATAAATCAATCTAATCTTATTATAATTTATGTATCAAGAACAAAAAATAATAAAACAATATTTTCCCACGATGCATCATGAATATTAAAAATATGTAATTTAATACTAAAATAAAGCAAGATATTTCAACTTAATATATTTTCTTTAAAAATGAAAGATTATTAAATTATAATTTCATATCATATTACCACAGTAATAAAATTTATATTTTATCATAATTGCTAACTTTGCATAATTTTATTAATTTATTTATCTTTTTTAAGTCTATCATTGACGAGAGGAAATCAAGCAATAGTATCCTCCCTAGTTCTAGCCAAGCACGGCTGGCAACGGCAGTAATTTTATTATTCATAAATATAAAAAAGAATGACGTAAAAATAGATCAAGCAATAAAACTTGTTTGATAAAATGTGCTTACATTCAAACACGGTAATGTAAGTTAGCAACAACAATGTAAACAAATGAATAACAAATTATCAGTTTACATTGTAATTGATGTTTACAATATTTCACTATCAGAAAATAAATGGTACATCTTAGATAATAACATTACATAAGTATTGAGATTCTATTATCTGTGGCGTAGAATATTTTGAAAAAAATATGTCGCAAAATACCAATTAAATAGCTTCGAAAATGATACCTAGATTTCCTAAAATTGCTTAAAAAAGAATAACAGTTAACAAATAATTCCTTTGTAAGTCATTGAGTTTTATTTAGTTAAAATATAAAAAAAACACTAATGACACAAGCCATTTGTATTTTTCTTACAACCATCCAACCTTCAAATTCCTTACAACAAACAAAATAGATATTTAATCAAGTAAAAAAAAAAAAACTTTATTAAGAGGGAGTAATAAATTACATTAGCGAAAACATGCCTCACAAGTTAAAAGCATTAATTGTGATTGTGACATTCCTATTACGAAACGTGGCTCAACAGAATTATTTCCTACGTACTCGGATGGAATTAAAAAAAAAACTTACGCGTGTATTCGGCTTCGGTTTGGGCGACATCTTTGTTCACGACCGGCGTGATCGAGTTATCGGTTCGTCAAGAAACTCTGGTATAATTCCAATGTAGCAAGATACGCGAATGATATAGAATATTCTCGATTATAAACTCGCTCATTTCTGCGGACTTACGGCTTTACGCACATTTTATTATAATTATTATTTTTTTTTTATAAATGGAATTCAAGTCTTTCGTTATTAACTGCGTCACGCTTTTATTTACGTAAACACAAAAATAATATAAACTTCATGGAATAATACAAAACAATGAATGTTTATATTGAATAAAAATTCACAATTTTTTTAAATTTTAGTTAAATTCACAAAGGCGGCTGTAGTTACACTATAGTGATGTACCGAAGACAGGCCATTTTATTAAGTCAGTTGAAGTGGGTGCACGAGTTCTTATCGGGCAATTGATAACAGAGGAGTGTTTATTACAACTTTTCCTTACCACTCCAACTTTATATGTATTAAGATTCGACATTAAATCTACAAATCTACGCCTAACTAAATAATCACGACAGCTTAAAAAATAGGTAAGTCAGTGCTATAAATAAAATATTTCGTTCTATTCAATAATCCTGTTTCTAATCGTCAGGTTGCTATCCTAAGGTGAAACGAAGGGCGGATCCAGCTTTGGCGCCAGGGGGGTCACATAGTCGTGGTCAAGTCAAGAGAACCAGATCGGGGGGGTCATAACCCCCATGAACCCCCCCTGGATCCGCCGTTGGGTGAAAAAATAATTAAAACGATTCGCATTATTGAACACGTATTTCATTTCAATAACATGCATTCATCCGTTACTACAATGTAATATTATTACAATAATCCAATTTAACTTCCAATGTATTTTAACACCAACCTGACAGTTGTTAAAGCCATACCCTGCCAAGTGGTAAGTAATTTCATCATCTAGTTGTAAAAAACTGAGTTATTTCTATACTACTTTTCACCCGCGATTTCGTCCTCGTAAAAAAACAAATGTAAGTATGTGTTCTTCCAGACTATCCTTTGTATCTATGCCAAATTTCATCGAAATGCGTTTATCAGTTTAAATTGCAAACTTTAACAAACATCCATCCATTTTAACTTACGCAATTATAATAGTAAGAAGTAAGACATTTTTCCTATGAATATTTGGTTTACATTATGTCTACAGTAGCGCTCAAAATCGACACTGGTATGCAACTGGCATAATATTATCACCAACTGGCGCGAGTGAGTCCTTACTGTACTACTGTCCAAATTTATCTCTTTCAGAAGATCTATTCCATTACTTTCAATATTTCGTATACTAAACAAATACGTAAAGATTGGAAAAAACAATTTTTGCTACCTAGGTAAGTCTAGGTATGTAGGCTTTGGTTATACTTTGTCTTACCCTTCCCTACTCCCCTAACATATGACACGATATTAGGGATTTGAAGCGTAGGTGGAATGACAGAGATTATAGGTTCGACTTTCATAATCGAATTTCCACGCTGAAGCCGTATTATGAACGTATCGTATACTGGTAATTAATAAGTTAGTTAAATTACTTGAGACCTTTACTAGTGGACTTAAAAAACCCAATTTATTTGTTAAAAAATAACGATTTACAATAATCAGAGCTGTTATAAAAGTACTCCCATTTGCGGCCAAATTACTTTAGAAGGCTAAAAGATCTATACTTATTACAGACCTAAAAGGTCTCTAAAGGAAATGCTACAAGGATTCACACTAGCATACCAGTCTCAGAAAACGGTAATGGCAAAGAAGAAAAAAAAGCCAGTTGTCGTTGGAAATCAACCGGAAATCAATCTATGACACTTATTTACTAAATGCCTCATACGTATTTTCTTCCAGGTAAATACCTAATGAGAATGTTTTAAACAAATAACTTACTTTGATATAGATAAAATGTGATTCACAAGTTATCAATAATAAAAATCGTTTATTTTATATTTTGTTGCAAACTATATTACATATTAGAATTTACTTTTGATTCTAGCACTTTTTTACAATATACAACAGTTTTTTATTATAATTATTCCACTTAAATGTCGTAATACTTTTTCTACGTCATATATAAAAAGTCAACAAGTATTATTACTAAAAGATAAATATCATTCCCACGAAACGAATCGAGATTATTAACTAATTCAGACAATCGATCATAATGAGCTTTGACTATAGAGAAACGGACTAGGCGAAGAGAGGATACGATGTATAGATTCTGCCACTACTCGTATTCATACGAGTATATCACGCTATATAACACGTAAATCTGAAACGTCAATGTTACCAAACAAGCACATAAGCATGTAAGTTAAGTTCTAATTGGTCGTATCTATTGATTGCTCATTTTCAACAAATCTTGTCTCTTAAAACTCAAAGACAATGAGCAACGGTTATGAATATGAACATTGTATATCGTTAACCGCGAGTGGCTTGTAAGACGACACCTAGGTTAGGGTTACCGCGCACGGATCAACAGCGGCCTCAAACCAATCACCACGAATGCTCGTCCGAATAAGCAACAATATCATATTTGTCTAACTTTCACAAGCCAGTAAGGTCAATTTACAACAAATATTTGAACACTATAACAACAATATACTTAATGATAAGTGACTGATACAAACGAAAATACAGAATAATACATAATGTAAGGGACTTTGTTATTAGTTTAACCAACATATATTTTTAAGACAAGCTTAATTTAAGAAACTTTTCCATAAAAAAAATGTTTGATTTTAATGCAAATTGGTGATTATAAACAAATTAAGTATTCAAATTGATAATAATATTTTAATCACGTAATTAAATTAATAATCAAATTTATTAATTTAACGACATAATTAATTAAACAATCTAATTATTAATTTACTAATTCTGAGTGTCATTTGAGAATTCTTTAACAATGAATCACAAAAGCAATCGCTAATATACAGATTAGGGAATAATAATTTTTATGTCGTTACTCTAAGTAACATGTACTGAGAACTATAGACTATAGAACTATAGACTTATTTTATTTATTTTTTACTTACTAAAAATCTTGCTTAACAGTATTAACTAATGAAACTGTCATAAAAAATCGAACACAATAGAAATCGACACAAAAACTGATACAAAGAAACTGCAGTAAACAGCATTTGAACATTCTTATTGCAATCAGTTTTTTAACCTTAGAGTTCGACTGCAATCG